CACAATATATATTTGTTCTTCAGTGATATATATACAACGAAGTATATATATGATGAGCGTTTAGCAGATACTACGCTTTGTGACGAGGCCATACGCGGGTCAAAAGGAAGTCCGTTCGGATAGTAACTTACATTTACGTTTTTCTCACCAATGATGTATGCTTCGATTCTCCAAAGTTCGAAACTGTCCCACGCTCTTTGTTATTCGCTATTGTTTTAGGCAGGCCTGGTGCTTACGTATTACATTCGTCGTCATTTCGTATTATTCGCCAACCTTTCAATTGCTTCAACTATATACACGAAGTCTCTCTTGATTCCGTCAGGATGCGTACGTTTCATACTGTATCAACATTATGCTCAAGCAGATGGTTACGGAATTAAAGAAGGCATATATATATATATACCTATATACCTAATTTTAGCGCGCATACAGTGACAGAACTGTTAATGCCTCTCCCTTGGGCCCTCCAAGGCAGTGGCCAAAGCATCACTTACTTATCATTCGTTATTTATTTGCATGAAAGAAACAGCATTGAGGAAATGTCTACTGGTGTTTAGTATCTACATTTAGCTTGAACGCTGTGCTGCGTTATATACCTCATATGTTATGTCGTAATTTCCATCTTCATCGGTCATATGCGCCGACCCTTTTATTTTCATTCGAAAATATGCAGAAGTGTGCGTAAGCAAAAGCTACGACGCACACGGTGCAAAGCAAGTTGGCTAAGCCCAACAGGCACACTGAACAAATCGCCGTATTTCAGCCAGCCGGTCAGTAAGTAAGCAACCATATGATGTACTGTAACCTTGTATGTCCACACGAGATGTCAAAATAAGCTATCATGGAAAAAAAACTATGACAACTTCTCGTAGAAATGGGTGGAGGATCCCGTAGATGTGTCCATCTTTTCCAATTTCTGTTCTGTTTGTTTACGTTCAGTTTCTTCAGTCTTTTTATCTTTCTGTTCCCTTTACGATTTAATAACATTTGTGTCATTTTTCGGACATTTTTTAAATGCTATGAACACTCGTCTTCCGTTTAGTACACGTCATTTCATCATGAGTACTGCACCTACTTTCACCGTCACGTGTTTAATATTGATGTTTCTCATTCTAATTGGAATAATGTGCCGATTCGATCGATGCGTTGAATATCTATGTGACCAATGTCCATTTTCATTTTAGATCAGTGTTTTGTCGATTCAAAAGCTGTTTGTCTAGAAACAATATTGTAATAGAAAAATATGCTGGTACAGTTATATGGCTTGTCCAACCAAGAACAATCAAATTCGACCTTGTGCCATTGCTACCGATTTGGCCATATCTCTAACCTCTTAGCGAACCAGTAAATGGCCGAAATTGATGAAACGATAATGGTCGAGTTCAACGATAATTCACAGTGAAGCCAATCGAAAAAAATGATGTGTTTTACAAGCTGCACTCTGTACTTATCAGGTATAGGTTGGCCAGCAATCACGAGTCTGGACAGCGCAGTAGGATATGAGACCCCTTCGGTGCGACTATTACATATATATCGTATAATTAGTATTTACATAAAATCACAGAGCATTCGGCACGTCTTATGGTCCACCTCGCCTCAATATTGTTTCCCCTATATTTGCACCTCGTTTCAGATTTGTCGCCATACGCGATCAAAGTATCTAGTATTTTCTGAACATTTTTCGCTTCACTCGATTCCAAAGGTGCTTGATTCCTCAACGGCTAACAACAACTTTTCATAGAGCATTTCAAATGACGTATACGGGGGTAGGTCCAGCCGATTGAAACATGTGTGTGCCCTGAAACAGAAAGGACGAGATCAAGTAAACCACGAATCCAATATATATGAATGTTCGTTTATTACACTAGGAACTACTAGGATCAAAACTTGATGCTGCCTAAGTACTCACATACTGCAGAGTATTAACATTTTCCTATTACACAAAAGTTACCTTGGGAGACTGGTTGGCTTTCCCCACTTCTCGATACAGAACTTTCGGGGCCCGTTTGAACCGCGAAGTGCTGCAAATCCTTCGTACGGTATACTTGAGGTTCCTGTGACAAACTGCAGAAGTCGTAATCTGCGTTCGTTGTCAAATCTTTCAATAGCCATCCAGAACCACTGGATGACAGGATACGAGTCGTGGTACCCCGAGCGGTACTCTGTGTGCTTTCGCCAATCGTGGATGTCAATTTCCATTGTTCCAGCAATTACCAATTCCAACTCACGGGCGTCGAACACGCTCACTAAGCGTGAATCGATCACCTCGTAAAACCCTGAAAGGTAATGCAAGAAGGTTGGTTATGGCAATATTCGCAAGGCACAAGTACTCTTCGGTTGTCTTTACCGAAATTCACATATATATATATATATTACGCTGCACGAATGCAAGTACTTGTCGTCATTGAAATAAAACAAGTCTCAATTCCGTTGCATACTGATATCTGATGATAAAATTTAGTTCGAACCTTTGACAAGACTCTCGGTTTGTTCAGCGACACCGCGCTCTAGTCTCCATTTCACCATTTTATCAATGTATTCTTTCTTATTTCGCTCAGTCACTTGAAGGTTTCGGCCGCCCGGTTTAAGCTCTTTTTCTAGGGTCTTTCCGGCAACCTCTTCGGTGACCGAAAATGTCAGCTCAAGACCGAGATCGGAAATATCGTTGTCCCGTAACCACTGCAATGAACGGTGAAAGTCTTCATCGAGATATTCAAGGTCGCTGAGGGAGCAAGGCAGACGAAGCAGCGCCTTATAGAACGGTCGTGTGAAGAATGCATCCAGTAGGAATTGATGCACTAAAGCCAGACCGAGCACCCGGCCTGAAAAACGAAACCATTCGTGCTGGTTGTCAACAAAGGCAGACATCGGTGATACCTGAACAGTGTATGTGTCATTGGCCGAATACTCAAACAGGCCGTAATATGGGTTGAAAAGCTCGCGGCTAAGCAGGAAGAAAAACTCCCGCGACGGTCCACCGTAGTCAAGGCCTTCTTCACCTGCAAAGCCAATGTACAATCGGCTCTTCTGCAGGTCCTTTTTACTTGCAGCCATTATCTTATTAAAAGCGTCTTCTAATACGTGGTCCCGGCGGATGTTCAACTTCAGTTTTGAAGGTCCCTGGCCGTAGCTTTTTGACTCAAGCTTCCTATAGAAGCTACGCAATTTAGCCTCGAAGTCGCGTTTGTATGGCGCAGGAGCTCGAACGTTTGACCTTTGCATAGCGGGTGACGAGTGTGGGGAATTCTGCGCGGCCTGTGATAAAGCAGCTGGCACATAGGACATGATTTCCTAATGGACGGAAGCGGATAAAAATATATAATGGAGAGTTTTAATAGGACCCTTAAAGTAATAAGTAAGCCGTGATATAAATACATACGTAATATAAATGCGTAATCAAGAACAAAACGAAATTAACAATAAGTACTACTAACCTGTTCAAAGAGGCTAAGCAGAATTGTGAGATCGACGTCGTGACTGAGGCGGGTAAGAGCTGTAACACCTTCCTGCCGAATCTGATTGACCATGTCGCGCAGCTGACTATTGTCGCGGATCGATGGCTGGCGCTCGCGTAATATATCCATAATGTTTGCCTGTCGTAGGAAGGCGACGACTTTGTCATTGTACGCCGTTGGAGCCAATGGTACCGGGGGAACTGCAGCGCCTGCAGACGGTGGAGCTGTTTGTGGGGGCCGAGGCGGAGGAACCGGTTGCGGTTGTGGAGAGGACGACGGCCTTGGACGTGAACACGCCGCACCATCACCTTCATCTGCCGGCGTTGCTCCTGATCTGCTTGCAGGTCCAAGAGGGGCTTGCATGCCTGACCCAGCGGGGCTGATGGTGCCAGTTTGGGCCGACGCCACGGTAGCTGTTCCATTTCCCGCGGTTGCCGCTGCTGCTGCTGCCGCTGCCGCCGCAGCAGCCGCGTTTAGCGACTGAGAGAGCTGAGAGCTCGCTTGTGCATCCCCTCGGGTAGCTCTTCGAGCAGCTAGGGGTACGACAGGCTTATTTGGATAGAGGTAGGGCACGTCCAATGGAAGACGTGGATCAATAAATGTCGTTGTTCGTGTTCCGTGATCTACGAAGTCGATGTTGATATTATCGAAATAACACAATCGCAATGTAATATGAATACGGTATCGATGTAATACACGCAGCCACTAAAGAAGGGCTTAATATGCTACCAGTTCAGCTAATATTCCTTAATTATGTGCGTAGCTTAAATGCGAGTTTGTCTCGATCCAGTTTATGCATAATTTATACTATTTTAAATGCTCATTAGATATGTGAATATAGCAGTCGCTCGATTGAGGTAGTACTTACCGATGAAGAACTGTTTCGAGCTTCGGTCGAGTTTGGTTTCCCAACCCCTAGGTAAATCCTTGTTTCTATCGGCGAAGCGATTTAGCAGTGCTACGAGGTCCCTGTTGTGCTGATATCGGTCGAAGCTGGAGACATCCCTTCGGATTTTACTGATCATATGCTTCAGACTCGATGAGCGATTATATTGCGCTAACGCTTCATCGTTCATATGTAGGACATTAAAGAAGTCTGAGCGGGACAGGAATCGAACCGCGGGGAGCTTCAGGTACTTCGAGGCCCCGGATGGCTTATGACTACCGATTATGGCAGAAGCCTGTGCCGAGGCAGCAGCAGCAGCAGAAGCAGGTGCAGTAACGGTAGCCTGTGCAGGCTGTGCGGCTGGCAGTTCCCCTAAGGGGCTACCAACGAATCCGCTGTCTAACAGGCAACTATCAGGGGAAGAACTGCTCGCTGTCGTCACCGATGCCATGGGCGTAACAGGAGGTGCAGGTGGTGGTGGCGAACTGCGCCCAGGCGAAAGCATGACCCCACTAGGCGGGGATGGCTGCGGATTTGTCTGCAAATTGATGATGCCGTTCTGGATCGTCAGATTTGGCTGAGGAAGGATAGAAGCGAGTCGCGGATTGTGTGTATGACTGTGATGATTATGATGATGGTGCGATGAAGGATGATGAGAATCGCCGCCAGCCTGTTGTTGATGGCCCGCAGCCGATCCCTGCTGATCTCGTTGTGATTGGTGTTGTTCCCGAAGTAAACTGCCGTACTGTCGACTCATACTCATTGTACGCCGAATACTCTGGTACCGCCGATCAAGCTGTTGCCGTTGTAGCTGCTCGGTAGACAGAGATGAGGCGGAGGCGGGCGTCGCCAGGCCGACCTGGCCAGTTGTGGTAGTTGTCCCACTGGGGGCGACCGTGGGCCGGGTCCACGTTGTCGTTCGATTAACGTGATCGATGTAGAAAATGCGGCCATGAGAATCGATTCGCGCCTCCCAGTCCATTGGTAACGGATCGTCGACGTCTACCCGCTGATAGCGAATTGTTCGTTCAGGAATGGAAGGTAACCGCGTGATTGTGTTTCGCCCACCTGCCGTCGTGTCCCTGCTGCTGCCGCCGTCAATTCTGTCTTCTTCCCTTTGCTCGTCACTATTTTGCTGGCTACCGCCATGGGAATGAATGAGAGACGGCGGTCGATCGCTAGTTAGACTCGCGCCGGATAGGACCGCCTGTGGATCGCGATCCTCAGCACTAAGTGGAACCTGACGCCTCGTCATTGATAAGTTGTTGCTACTAGCGTTGTTATTGTCTGTGGGGGGCATATCGCTCCTTCGCAGGCTCTCCGTTCTTAGCGGACAGCTGGGAGCGGCCTCGCCAGCACCGTCAGCCGATGCGGAGGCTGCCGCGCAATTGCTATGCGGGACCGACTCCTGTAAGTTACAGCAGGGTTCGTTTGGATGGGTACAGGAACATTTTAGATTGCGTTTTATTTAAACGTAAACAATATATCAGTTGAATTATTGCTAACGGACCTCACGTCAATGTTACCGTATACGCCTCTCTGATGCTGCTTCAGATGTGAATATGGAGCACGCAAGTGTTGACAAAGGGAGATTATCTTTTCAATTTTAAACCGGGCTGAATGGGGCTTGTCGTACCAGGAACATCGTATACGGAGGCCGAAAACTTCCACGCGCTGATACCAACCTGTGTAAGCGCCTGTAAACTTGACGGGCTATGTCCTGTAACTTCAGCGTCTTGCCCTCCCGAAACTACCTGGCATGGTGAGTTTCTGGGGGCAGCACAGGTACGTCGATTGGCTTTATTGTTATCGTGGCTCTGCTCTTCCGAGTCATCATCAGATGAATCGGAGTCGCCGTCCTCTGAAAGACTGGGCTCATCCGTCATCGTTATCTGCGAGCATCCGCTGGACGACGAAGACGAGTCCAAACTTCTCTCCTCATGACTGCCCACATCCATTCCTACTGATACTGCCGTGGACGATACTATCACAGCACCGCCATCTAAAAACGTGCACAAAATACATTAAATGCACGAACGATTTTCACGTGTACATATTAACTATTGGAATTTTACCTCAATGAAGTTTTCATTCAGTAGAAATATGAAGTATTTCCTTAGCGATTTAAACGGAAGACCTGCTTCTAAGTTAAAAGTTGCGGGTAACACATTTGTTTCTTATGCAGGTGTTTGCCAACCAAATGAAGAGAGAGAAACAGGAAACCATGGAACTAATTTGAAAATCGTAAGGTCCAGCAATAGTCGCTATTGTAATAGAGCATCGATGTATGGATCATATATAGATGACATTTTCGAGAAATCCCGGAACAACAATTTACAACCAGTGCAACTCTATTAACGGAAGACCATTCATGAATAAAGCTTCATCTACCGTAAACTATGGCATTTTAATTATTAAAATCTTCTATTTACAAGCTCGATAATATTTTGAGTAAGATGAGCTGAGATATTCAGTACCAAATATTTAGTCTCGTATGTACGTGGTAAGCGTATTATTTACATATTGATTAAACGTTCTCAAATGTCCAACATTTCTAATCAAACCAATGAAAGGTCTATAATGTGATACTTGAAAGATAATATCAGATTCAAGCCTTTTGCTTAAAAAGTACCAAGCGATAAGTAAGAATTTCCACCTATTGGCGGAAAACAGCTTGTTAACTCCTCTTAAGCTCAGAGTAAGTCAGCTGTCTAACTGCAGCGTAGTCCGTGGACACAACTGCAGGCTCAGTTTTCGTCAAACATTCCATACTGTGCCCTATGAAGACCCCTGATGAAATCGGGCTGAGAGTTAGCCTTCCGGAAAAAGCGGGGTGACCGCCTCCAATCTTGTTTGTCATTTCTATAAGCCCGTTGATGGATCGTGCTATGTTTTCTATAGAACAACTTCGACTGCCAAATTTTGCAACGGAAATACAATCTGACAAATTACATTGAATGCACAATGAAAACGTGGCCTATAGCGGACTACATTGTGTTACCGAGCGGTAGCGGGGGTAGCTGTAACGCTTTCTGTAGCGCTAAGCGTCATCGTTTCGAGCGACAGATATTCAGGATAGAAAACAAGCGAATCGTTGTCGCGTTGGGTACTCTCCGTACTTTGCGGGGACTGTTTGTTCTTAATGCCAGTGCACTTTTCAGGAAAAAAAATATATAAATACACCATCGTCTCATATGAGGTGACCACCAGGCTACCCGAAATACACGGTCTTCATCCACATGACCCCTTACGCTGCATGTTGGTCAGCATTGACTTACCATTGTTTTGATGCGCAGCGTGGTGTTGCTGTTGCTGAGTCTGGTGAACAGAGGTCCCAAGCGTTACGTTACTGACAGATGCGCCCATTGTCGCAGAATCGAACCCATGGAAATTAGTGCCGCCCTGCGGCACTCCCCCGGAGTCAATCAGTTGCGTACAACTTACCGAGGGAGAACAGCCCAGTTCACAACTTTCTACGGACTCGCCCCTGATCACACAACTGAAGACAGACATGTCAGGTGGCGCGTCTAAACAACTGCTACTGCACATCGACTCTTCTATATTTGAACACCCCACACGATTAGAACCTGAAATAAAGAAGACAGCTCTTGTAACACGCATGCAGCTAATTTCCTCGAATCGAACAGCGATCATGACAAAATTCTTCTCTATCCTCTTTATCTAAAATAACTTCCTTTAATAGTTTACTTCTGTATTAGGTGACAGCCAATCCATAGCCGGCAGCACAATTTGACCATCGGAAAATATCATAACCACAAATATTTTTCCAGGTCTTCGGTTCTCGTTGGTACGCTATTCGTTCATTTTTTTTTTGCATTCTTACAGGAACCATGCACCCACAACTGACTACGCGAAATTTTACAACGCTGTATATTTATTCCGTGATCCGGTTCGGTCACTATAGATAGACAACTTGCAAGACAACGTTGCGTGGCGAGCACGGCAGCAGCGGTAAACACATTTGCAGAACCGCTTAATTGATCAGAGAATAGATTGAATCGAGTGTTGGTCATTTAACAAAGGCCGGCCGTGATCGGATACCACCGTCGTATTTATACCTTGACACAATCGTTTCTCTCCAGTCTGCTACGATCCTTAGTGGAACTACGACGGCGCGATCAGTTGCGTCTACCAAATAATAACCGAGTAAATGGCCACAAGGCTACATGACATATCTCCGACATATCGCTGTCGCATTGTATATAGCCATGCATTTATATACACAAAAAGTGATGATTATGATGCAATATTGAAATAGCAGTAAATTGCACCTACAGTATTATAACGGATGGCAAGTATACTTGCGTAAACCACGAGAATACCCAGTCCTCACCACGTTTTACCGTTCGTGATTCACTACAGAAACTCAAGCGCCACCAGGCTTGTTGTCGCGAATAAACATCGTTGGCCCCAAGTAATGGCTGTCACCTCTGAATTTCCGTTCACATGGAGGCTAGTTACGATGCTTCTGTACGATTCTAACAAAAGACCATTACGTCACAAAAGCACGTTGATGGCAAAACGAATAACGGTATCGATCGTCAGGCAAGCATTTGTGTTCGAACCCATTCGCGCGTCGCCATGCCGGTAAAATCTGACTTTGCAGTGCCTATTTGTTATCCTCCTCTTGAACATAGGCTCTATCATCGCGTGTATAGCACTTGGATTGTGTTAAATCTCTCCTGAATAAAAAAAAAACACTGTTCAATGAACACTGTTTCTGTCAGTGAGGAGAAAATCACGAGAATGAACACTTACCAATGCTACTGGAGCTAGGCCTTCTCGTCTGTTGAGGTGCTGTCGGTAGGGGCGGAAGGGAACAGTGTTCAAGTGATAGATGTGAGATATTTCCTATCAGTCCTGTTACGCCTGCTCGGTTGTCTGTTTCAAGAACCGCCTCTTTTTCAGCTCCGTCATCGTCGGGTCCTGTCTGGTTGTCCAGGACTCCTTCATCTTCACTGCTGGTCGAGGAACTATCACAGCTTGTTGCAAATGGAGCAGCGCCCGCACTCCCCACTATAATTCCGTTTGTCATGCCTCCAAAAGAATAGCTGGCTGCAGATGCACCTGTGTTGCCAGATCCGCCTGCGGCTGTGGTTGCTGTCGGCGACGTAACGGAATACTCGTCTCCGCCAGGATTTGACGCGTTTGACCTGCGAAAATACCAGTCGCAGCCGCATGACCATTGGCGATGGTACATGAAAATTTTATAGCTGTGATTGCAAAACGCTAATCATAAACATGCATTCGACTAGATAAACAACAAACTATAAATATACACTGTAGTGTACTTTCAAAAGACAAAGACAAGCAAGATCAATGTAAAGATATATATGAAATATTTTTACGGTTGGCTTACCTTTCCAACGGCTTGTGAACGTTTTTTTGCTTGGGTGGAAGTGGTGGTGGGTGTGGGTCATCTTCGGCAGGTCTAGCACACGTTCCAGTTGCTTCGTCGGTTCCTATCCTGTCAGTTACCTCACTGCTGCCTTCTTCTGACGCACCACTTCCTTCAATGCTGTTGCTGCTAGTCTCATCATCTTCAGCCTCTTCGGAAAGTCCGCACGGACTAGAAGTGGCCGCTTTCGTCGCCGTTGCTGTGACCACTGCCAAATCAGCCGCTGTCGATGCCGTCGTCATTGTCGAAACAGCATCTCCGCCAATTCTATTCTCGGAACTTTGCGTTTGACTAATCCCCCGCCTAAGCGGCTGTTGTTGCTGGCGATGTGCTAGCGATGTACTTCTCTTTGGCGGGGATTCTGGTGCTGGTGGGGGCGGTGGATTGTTGTGTCCGCTCAGTGACGTACTCGAACTCGTCGTTGAAAGAGATCCCCCTGTACTGCAACTCTGACTGGCTTCGGCCAATACAGGATTATGTACCTGTCGGATGTGTAACCACGGGTCGACGGCACCCACTGTTTCAAGGAAGAAGCTGAATAGAAGGTTACCACTAATCGGCTGGTCGCTAGGGTTACGACTTAGCAACGGGTAGCTGAGCTCGGCGACGTGATTTGCGCCACACTGCGCAACCAACTCCTGTATGGAAACACGCAACTTTCCGAGGAAACGGCTCATAAGCGGCCGGGGCCGCGAAAATTTGTCCTTGATCTCGAATTCGAGCACGTCGGACGGATAGGCGATAAACTCGAATTGGAGTCGCGTCCAACGAGGATTCACTGTGCTTTCGGCAGCGGCGGTGCGTAATACTTGCCCATGATGTGGTAAGAGTAGAACGCCCTCTCCAGGGCCCGGCTGTACGCTCATCTTGACGTACGGATCGGGACTGAAGAACAGACTCCGTTTGAGGTTTTGCGCGTGCAGGTTTGTTACAGTGAAGCGTAGCATCTCCTGCGGGAATTGCTGACTTGAGTAACCCATCAGCATCTAAAAATAACAAAAGAATAAAGGGGCGAGGACAACAAAGGCGTTTGCGGATTTGTCAGATTAACTCACAGTGGGGAACACTACAAATGAAAGAACTAAAACTATAACTAACGTCTGAGTAACTACAAATGATGGAATTAAACTCAAGAAAAATAAACACGTCTGTGTCACGTATGTATTTGTGTTATTTGGGAACTTTTTACCCTTTGTGTTTTTTGGGAACTTTAGCTGTACGATTCCATTACGCAACAGACTTCGACAATTGACCTAGCATACGTACTGTAAATACATGGAGACTTTTAAAAAGAGAAATTGATTCCGTTAAGTGCTTGTTTTTTTCTTAGAGGAATTCTTTGGCTAGATTGCAGAATCGCTAATTCAGTTATGTAAGTGAAGCCCAGTGCCAAATGCCACGAAAACCGGTGTAAAAGCTAAATATGTAAAACCTGAGTGGTATAAAATCTACTTCTATATTCATATTATTGATATATGAAATTTGAGCAATCACAAATGCATGGCGGTCTTTACTTTCAAACAGTTTTCTTTATATTTACCGGCAAGTGCATACTGGATTTCCTCGTTACCTATCACTGCCATCACTCTTACCATCAATAGTCTTATTATCATTTGCAACTCATCATATGGCAAAGTGGTTCTAGAAAAGCAAGTGTTTTTTTTTACCATTAAGTGGCCTCGTTTTAGTAGCCTGCACACTGACTACTCAGCTGTCGGCTGTCATACTATCCAACCCCGCTTTTATTTCACTCACTATTGGACCTTTTTATACGATGGTGCGGAAACGATAAGGCCAAATGTCAGGCCAATACGGGTCACGTTAAGCAAAAATAACAAAAGAGAACAACAACGAAAAAACGTTTGATATCATCAAAAACAGAATATATATATGACGACATACCTAGCCATAAAATGTGTCTGCGCGCCGTGTGATATCAGTTCACGCGTGATGCGTGTCAGGTGGTCGTGAGAGTCAGTTGCATCGATTAAAATAAAGCCAGCCAGAGAGATATAAACATAAGCAAAAACGGCAACAACCCTCGTAATGTAGTCATTGCCGATGGTAGTAACCCCGATGATACCAAACCATTCTCACGGCTCAGCTGTTTACGACCATATTCTGTAGAGTTTCTATTCTTCTTTTTCTGCTCTTCCTAATATTTTGCACTACGCTATGCAACTGACTATGCCTGTTTGTTGCCGCCGGTGTAATGAACCGCCTTAACCGCCTCGAAAAGCTAAATTTACAATTTTGCCCATTGATACGACCGGCATCGTGGAGGACCAACATTGATATTGTTAGTATTCGTCAACAGCTGTGTACTGCCATCAATGAACGGGGAACAAGATACGTGTGCTACTTAAATCCATCGATTTGAATAAGTTAATCTTAGAGGATTATATAGAAGCGAAGAAATCAGATCTTACAGAACGTGTTTTCCCAAAGCGTCATTTTACAAACACCTCTAAAAGACAACACAGTGCCCTTGTCGAGTCAAAAAGTCTTGTACAATACGTAGCCGTACGTCTATACTTACAACCACACTACTTTGTAAAGGAGCCGTTTTATCTATACGTTTAATTTTACGCGTATTCATGGTATACACTCGCGTAGTAATTTACGCATTAGATGAAGCTAGTGAAATGTAACAAAACAACTGATGGCAGATACCGACCGCACAAGGCATTGTCCCCAATTTAGATTGTTTCATTTAGTGATACTTTCGGCCCCTTTTATTTCTATAATTCCATGATTCTGCGGAAATTTGTTTTGACCACAATATGGTCGGTCCCGTCTGCTTGACCAGCGAATCCTCATTTTCCTCTCTTCCGCTCTGTTTTAAAACCAACTGTTACACAATCAGCTTATACTAATTTATGGCTGTAAGCTAAGAGTGTGATAATGTAACACAAGAAGCTCTCTGGTCGACCCGTTCACGTTTCCAGGATCCCCACTTCCGTCAGCTCCGGCATAACCGATATCAATGGCCAGACCTGTACATTGTAATTGACTTTCATAGTAGGGAACAATATAACCTGGCGGTATAGGCGTAGCAAGAACTAATAAAAAAAAAAAAGACTAATACGAACTGCATCAGCTTTGCCTTTAATTTTTAAGCAAGTTTTAAGAACGCTAAGTTATGTGCTTTAAAGTAGAGCTGTGCTTGAGGTGATCAGTTGAACACATACATCAACCACACCAGATAGACATACAGACTTTTCCATACATAGACGTTGCTCCAGGAACAAAGTTTTACACTTGCCAAGCAACGTCGAATTTGGTCTGAACTGAGCGGACCGGCATCGCTGCATTGTTACATACTGCCTGCTAAAAATGATCCACATTAAAATGGCTCTGACGTCTTCCACTGAAAGTAAGACACTTAGTTTTTTGTGTATCGAGAAAGACCGTTATGCGGCAGATTACGACAAAAGAAAAATCAAAGAACATGTACGGCAGCAGCACGGTTTCTTTACCAATGGGCGAGTCTTTTTCATATCGAACCGAGGTGACGCACACCGACAGCCATCTGCTTGTTCTGTTTTGGTAACAAGGAAGAAAAGAGAAACGTTGTATTGTAATGGCCCCAGGGCTAGGCGTGCTTGTGGCTTTTGTTGGATCGCTGCCAGTAATTCGGGGCTGGCGGGATCACTTTAAAAGCAAAACCCAGGCCTTGGTCAGAAACTAGACCGAGCAAAGTATAATTTTTTAGTGGCCCAGTTTTTTCTGCTACATCTTACCTAGTCCCATACAGTTTAGATTTTTCGAAATAATCAAAAGTGCTGCCGCTCTGTCTGTCTGCATTTACAAATATAGATCACTATTGAGTTTAATACAGAAACAAGTTGAAAAGCAATAAAAACACCGCTCGAATAATATGTGTTTTAGCGATATTACCTTACAGTCGAATTTATTTTTGCAAAGTAAAACCTGTAACAATGCGCTGACGACTAGTCGTCTCCTAACTTGAATATTATCATAAAGTGTGTTAACAATCAGTTGCAAGTATATTTCTGCTTTCTATATGACCTCTTACTACTAGAAACCAACACTACTGAACGAGACAGTTGTCCTGTAAATTCGTGAATTATTGATGTAGCTTCTCGGCTTGCTGACTGTTACCATTTTTTTCACACATTCTGGCTCCAATAACACTCCGAAACGCTATTGAGAATCTAGTGTGCCATGCGGCAGCTTTTGTTGATCGTATTACAATGCTAGTTAACGCTAACCCTGACCCCCCCCCCCAATTAAGTTCCAATAATCAGCCACCCTGACCAACACGAACCGAACAACTGTTGTAGTCGTCATCAAGATTTTGCGCCACTTTTTACAATTAGCTTATCAGTATGTCAAGGCCGTGGGCCGAGGCTCAAGCCAGCGTACGAAAATGGAATCTTCTTGATAATGGGTCTATTTAACCGCTTCGGAAAACGTCAAGCGGAACACATTTGCGTGCTATCCAGTTGCAGACTCGCGGTTCATGTACTTGTCCGTTCAGATGGGCAGGTGGTTGGCTACTGAGCAGCTGCAGCAATCGCTGCAGCTGCTAGGGACGATAAGGAAACGTCTTTGTCACGTCTGTTGTCATGTGGGAGCGCGTTCACATAGACGCCGCCGTATTATACGTCTGTCTATCCAGCGACGCCGGCCACAGCAGTCACTGTCTCTTGACACCCGTACACTACGGGCTGCACTGCCCCGGGCGGGAAAATGGCGACTGCCAAGCAGTCGCGATACGACGTTCATGTCAATGGGTACGCCCAGTGTTTGGCCGTCCGACCGCGCAAATGACGTCTGCAGCCACTACTAAATTGTGCAATGGCTATATTTACAACATATATAAATCGCCGCTACAGGAACAAATGTTCGCCATAAAGTCGCTAGAAAGATAATGAAAAATAAATATAAATTTCATAATAGTTATTACGCGATAAATTATAACACATAATAACCTACCTTGAATATCTACCATGCCACATCTGTCTCTGTATCATATACGTACTATATACTGCCAAATAACAAGAAACAATACTGCATGCGAAATACTGGCGTCCAAACTCAGGTGTACATATGATCGCCCGTTAGCGCCATCAGCACGAAGCAAATCACACTGCACCGTAACGATCCGGTAGAGGTCGCTGTGCGCCTACAATATTTGCGAGCTTAGCCTTCAAAGCTATGAAAACGTGAGGGATGAGCGTGGACGGTGCCAATGGAACAGTAAAATAGTTTTTATGACTCATCAACGAGTCGCAGGCAATTGTGAGCGAAGAAAAAGAAAAACTAAGTCGTTGCTGACGGTGCAGAGCGGCTGACTGGTTGAAATAGGGCTGTCCACCAGTAGCAGGAAGCTGCCAACGAAGACGGAGTCTAGGCCAAATCCATTAAGACAAATAATCATCAACTGGGGAAAAAGTCCCTTCATTTTTTCCGTTGTTGAGAGGTCGACCGCCAGTGCTTATTCTCAGTCACGACTAACTAATCTAAGTCAGACTAATGTAAATAACGTATAGATACTATATCGAGAAGAAACTTTTCTGAAGCGCGGTTATGAATCGATAACTATTGTGAGTACTCCGCCTCGTGCATACACAGAGGTATCGTTCGAGTAGTGGTCATATTGTTTAGCTTTATCTACACACATATTCCGCAGTATAGATATATCGATGTTAATTAAATTCTAAGATCAGTCAAAATATCAGCCGTACGACTGATCGATTCCTCACACTCGTGCAGTCGAATTAAGTCGACTTGAGTCAATATTTGACGACGAACGGCACGCGCTCTGGTGCGCTTTTCATGATCAAAATATTTACTCAGGGAACTTTCACAGTTTTATTCAGACATAACTAATAGTGCCGTATGAGAACAGCTAGAAGCGCTGCCGTCCCCAGATGATACACGTACCACACAGGCGTCATAAAATTCTATTTTATCTTTTCGCAGGTCTGGCAACAAGACAAAGTGAAGTTGAACTGAATTGTGAGTCCTTGAGCCCGCCATGACCTTAAGTTCTATTCAGGTCATAAGTGGAGATACGGCAACGATGTTTAGCAAATGTTACTGAGTACAAAACCCTTATCAATTTAAATGAGCTTTTGTACCATCCGTGCCAGGTATTACCGGTGCTCCACAACAGTTCAACTGCAGTTTGATACAGAAAGCGATAATTTCGATATATATATATA